GATGAGGATGAGGAGGAGCGAGGAGGAGGAGGAGGAGGAGGAGGAGGAGGAGGAGGAGGAGGGGAGGAGGTGGAGGAGGAGGAGGCGGAGGAGGAGGAGGATGAGAGGACTCCCTCCCCATCCTACTGATGGTGGTGGTGGTGGAGAACAAGCCCAACAGTACAGGCTCGACCACAAGAAACATTTCACACGAAACCCAACCCTGAGACCACAGGACGTTCAATATGTTGGTGCGGAAGCGCCACGTTTTCTATTGCAAGACCATCGAAACCCAAGAAACCCAGGGCACCCTGGAGGCAAGCAGGGTGCTTCTTGGCATGGGCCCCTACTGTACCCTTTCCCCACGACCAGCTTGTCAGTCCGAAGCGTTTGTTCATGGCCCCTGGGCCAGGTGTTCGTGAGAGCCTCTCCAGAGGCAAAGAATTACAATTAAGTCCGGCGTGTCCCCCTACAGGGGGATTTTGGGCGAAAAAGAAAAAGTACTCAAACAACTCCCCCAAAACAGTCAAAAATAGGAAAACAAAAAAAACGTACCAGACTATTTTTTGACTACTTTTGAATATTCCCCCTGTAGAGGAACACGCCCGACTTAAAACTACAAGCTGCTGGCGGCTCCATTTCCACGACGCGAGGGTGAGGCCCCCCCATCTCCAGTGGCTTTCGGGCCACTGGCGGCTTGTGGCTACGGGCACCCCTAGATGAAGGGGCCCCAGGACACACACATAAATACACATAAATAAAATGATCCCGCATATTTTCCCATATTTGTTCTGGGTTTCTGTCTTCCTCCCCACTTCCCATATTTTCCCATATTTTCCTGGGAGTCGACGATGAATTGTGTCTGTGTGAGTCTTTCCCTCCTGACTGGAACTCTCTCGGCGAGGCGCAAATGCTGTATAGCAGCCCGAGGCAGCGAAGGAGGCAGCGACAGGAGGGGGAGGAGGAGGAGGAGGAGGAGGAGGAGGAGGAGGAGGAGGAGGAGGAGGAGGAGGAGGAGGAGGAGGAGGGGAGGGACGAGGAGGAGGCGGAGGAGGAGGAGGCGGAGTAGGAGTAGGAGTAGGAGGAGGAGGAGGAGGAGGAGGAGAGGAGGAGGAGGAGGCGGAGGGAGGCGGAGGGGGGGGGAGGAGGAGGAGGATGAGGAGGAGGAGGAGGAGGCAGGAGGAGGAGGAGGAGGAGGAGGAGGAGGAGGAGGAGGAGGAGGGGGGAGGAGGAGCCGGAGACAGCGACGAGGTCCGAGAATCCGGAACCCCAGACCTCCGACGCGGCGTTCTTTGCTCCGGTCCGCGGTCCCAGAGCTCGCGGGACCCAGTCTCGTGGGATGGCTTCGAGAGGCCTCCCAGACGGGGTCGGAGTAGACGGGGTCGCAGGATCGCGCCACATCGCCGATGGATGCATCGGCGATGCATCGGCGATGCATCGGCGATGCAACGGCGATGCAACGGCGACGTCGGCGACGCATCGGCGACGTCGACGCGAAGCAAGTCGGGCCCCACATCGAGTCGCACCGGCGATGCGGCGCGATCCTCCGACCCCGCCTACTCCGACCCCATCTAGGAGGCCGGGAGCTTCCTCCACCCCGTGCCCACGTTTCTGCTCCGTTGCCCACGGGGCCCGAGAACGGCCCAGACTTGGAGTCCCGAACCTGTGCGGTGACGGACCGTGCGGTGGCCTCGAAATCCCCCGAGATCTCACCGCACGGTCCGTCACCGCACGGCCTCGGGACCCCGGAGGCCCCTGTCGCCCGAGACGCCCTCGGAGAGGGCCCCGAGTCCCACAGCCGTGCGGTGACCCCGAGTCCCCACCGACTCTGAAGGGGCCCTGGGACACACAAATAAATACACACAAATAGAAATATCCCCCATATTTTCCTATATTTTTTGGTTTTTTGTCTTCCCCCCCACTTCCCATATTTTCCCATATTTTCTGGGGAATCGAGGATTAATTGTGTCTGTGTGTTTTTTCTCCTCCTGAGTTTGGGGGCCCCCGACCAGAGGGGCCGACGCGACCGACGGCAGAGCCGCCGGGGCTGCACGGGCCTCGCGCCGTCGGACGCCCTTGGGCGACGGCGCCGCGGGAGGGCCACGGGCAACACCACGGCCGCGCCCCGCGGAGCGTTCCCGACGGCGAGAAGAACCAGGGAAACGCCGCACGTCAGGGCTGGACCTGCACGTTGTTGTTCGCCGTTCGCTTTGGTTTCGGTCTGTGTTTTTCGTTTCGCTCTGCCCGTTTTCCTGTGCCCCCCTGCCAAGACGACAAACCATACACGGCCGAAGTCCCGCAACACATCGTTCAGGTCCAGCCCTGGCGCACGTGTCCAAGGCGTCCCCTCTCCATCAGGTGGGAAACCAGCGAATTTCAGGACAGGCTTCGCGGGGGGTGCGACACCATCCGCTCTGATCCCACCCGAAAAGCCCCTAGCCATTGAGCGCTGCGTGGAGCACGCGATGACGCTTTGTTAGACGACCCTGCCATCATTCTCCTCCTCGATCCGCGATCCTGCTTCTCCTCCTATCGCTCCCCCCCCCCTGAGGGGGAATGGTAGAGGGGGGCTGGCTCAGGGGAGACATCATCGATCTGGAATCGGTGGTACATCGCCGATGAATCGGCGAGAGGCCCTTGATAGCGAAACCGCGCGTTCCTGGGCGGGGAAGGCTATCGGACTCCAATCGGCGATACATGAGCGAGTGGGGGTCAACGCGTCCCCCCCTGATCAGGGAGACGTGAGGCTCGGGTTCGGGGGACTCGGGTTGGCCTGACGGGGCCATCATGAACATGACAAGATCCAATCTGAAATCTGACGCGAACTCCCGCGGGTAAACAACCCACGAACACTGGACCGTCAAAATCCAGGGCGCGCTCGCCAAGAGCGTCGGCAAGCCCGAGCTCTGGCGTACTCGAGCCGTACGTTTCCCCGCCCCGCCCCCGAGCCGGTCCCCCCCCCCCTACAGAGAAGCCTGAAACAGCGGATGTTGGAAATTCAGTGAAAGTGGAAGTGGCCAGGGCTGGAAAACGTGGCAAACCCGACACAACTGGGAGTGGCGGCGCGCACACGGGGGTGGAGGGAGGGGGGAGGGCTTCTCAGAAGGAGGCTGCTCCTTAGACGGCGCCGGCGTTACATCTATAGAGAAGGCCCGCGCCTTCTGAAAAGCAGGGGTGCTTCTAAGAAGCCCTCCCCCTCCCCCCCCCAACCCCCTCTGCGCGTGGCTGATGGGACTTGGTCACCAGGGCTTGAAAAACGACGGGAAACCGACCAATGCTGTCCGGAGGCCGTTCGGGGCGATTGTTGGCCCCCCCCCCGGAACGACCTCGGCGAGGCGCAGCTGCTGGAAAGCATGAGCGCGCTTCTTTATTCTCGTCGACAGTGGGCAGTATAGGTGGAGGATTGTAGTGCAACGCCTGCCCCCCGCCGTGCGCGCGGCGGCAGTGCCCGGAGAGCACTGGGGGGGGGGAGGGGCGTTACGTTATAGGAGGGGGGGGGGCCGGGGAGTGTAATGCCCATGATGCACAACACAATAAAGAAACACACGCTCCATGCCCTGGCCAGAGAACTGCCGAGGACAGCTGAAATCGCTTGAAGACCTCGAAGCTCGAGCCTCGAACCCCCAAGCCGAAACCTTCCTGAGCCTGCCCCCCCCCCCCCCCTCGGCCAGCCGCGGAAGGCCCTGGCCACGTTTCCCAGTGAGAGTGGAAGTGGCCAGGGCTGCGAAGACTGGCAGGAGGGGAGGCGAGACCGAAACACGAGGGATGCGGTCGCCAGGGCTGGAACAAATACAGGCCAACTGGCCAAGGCTGGAAAGAGTGGAAAGGCTGGCCCCAGTAACTTTTTCCAGCTTCCGTGTGCCCAGACATGCGACGTCCTGTTTTTGTTCCACACGGGGCCCCTGGAAATCTCGACCCTTTCCCCAGGAGCGGTTCTTCGTCATGAGCTGTTATTTGACGGTCCCGAGGCCCAGCGAGGGCCCCCCGAGGCCGAACACGGCCAAAAACCTCCCGCTCTGATTCATTTACTGCGACGGGCTCATGTCTGGGTACGTTTCGTTTGTTTCCCCCCCCTGAGCCTGTCCTAGGGGAGCGAAGAATGGCATGAACATAAAAACTCACACGTCCGCGCGGACCTCCGAGTTGTTATGTTCATGTCATTATTCGTTCCCCTTGTCCCCCCCCCTAGCGCTGCCCCCGACCGCCCCGTGAAACCCAACCCTGAGACCCCACGACGTCAATTGTTTTTTCGTATGGGAACGTCACGCTTCCCATCGAAAAACCATCTCGCAACCACCGAAGCCCCAAAAACACCCAGGGCACCTTGGAGGCAAGCAGGGTGTTTCCTGGCATGTGCCCCCCCTAGCTTGAGGGACCGACCGTCCCAGTATTCCAATAGGCTTACCACGAAATGTTCTTAGAACCCAAACATGTTCTAAGAACGATAGTAATGCAATGCTCTTAGATCATACAAGCGATGCGCCAAAACAAGACAGTCCCAGCCAGAAACGTTCTAAGAACACGCAATGGAAATCACAAACGGTTCTTAGAACATGGTTTGGCAAGCCTATAGGCACGCCAAGGCACTTCGCCACTGCTTGACTAGCGCTGCCCCCGACGCCCCCCCCATCCCAGCCGCGAAGGGCCACCGCTTCTGCCGCTCGGCCTCCACAGGCTCCGCCCAAAACAGCCAAGATCTACTCCACGGGGGGGGGGGGGCAGAGGTGGTTTGGGGGCCCGCGCCGATCGGCAAAACAACAAAAAAACGACAGGGTGGTTCCTGGCATGTCCCCCCCCCAGACATCAGACGTCTCGATTTTTGTCGAAGCACGGGCCCCCGACCTCCCGACCTCCCGACCACTCCCCCCGGACCGGTTTTTCACCCCGAGTCGTCTATCGGCGGTCCCGAGGCCCGGCGAGGGCCCAGGAATGTCGAAAACGACGAAAACCTCGGTCTCGATTTTTGTTGAGACGCCCGATCGCCCCCCCCCTAGCGCTGCCGCCGGCGCCCCCCCCCCAGCCGTGAAGGGCCACCACTTCTGCCGCTCCGCCTCCGCGGCCTCGGCCCGCAGCGCCTGGCCCGGCGCGGCCGCGCGCGGGGGGCGCCGGCGGCGGGCGCCGGGAGGGAGCAGCGCGCAGACGAGCCAAGACGACGAGTGGAGGAGAAGGAGGAGGAGGAGCAGGAGGAGGAGGAGCAGGAGGAGGAGGAGGAGGAGGAGGAGGAGGAGGAGGAGGAGGAGGAGGAGGAGGAGGAGGAGGAGGAGGAGGAGGAGGAGGAGGAGGAGGAGGAGGGGGAGGAGGAGGAGGAGGAGGAGGACGAGGAGGGGGCGAGGAGGAGGAGGAGGAGGAGGAAGAGGGGGAGGAGCAGGAGGAGGAGCAGGAGGAGGGACCCCGGCAGGGTTCCGCAGACCGGCGTCTTTTTGCCCGGCGCGGCCGCGCGCGGGGGGAGGGGGCGCTGGCAGCGGGCGGGGAGGGAGCAGCGCGCAGACGAGCCAAGACGACGAGTAGAGGTGGAGCGAGAGCGACGACGACGACGACGACGACGACGACGACGACGACGACGAGGAGCCCCAGACATGATCGCGTCGTGAAGAAATCAGAGCGGGAGGCTTTTGGCGGTGTTCGGCCTCGGGGCGCCGGCGGCGGGCGGGGAGGAAGCAGCGCGAGGTCGGGCATGTCCTCCTGGAGGCGGATCTTGGACGCAAAATTAAAGCAGTCCAAACAAATATCAAGTCAGAAAATGGTTGGGAAATCGTTCCCATACTATTTGTTGTGGCAATGTTTGATGATTCCTCCTGTGGAGGGACAGGCCCGACTCAAGAGCAGCGCACAGACGAGCCAAGACGACGAACTGAGGAGGCGAGAACGACGACGAGGAGCCCCAGACATGATCAGGTCGTGAAAAAATCAGAACGGGAAATTTTTGGCTGTGTTCGGCCTCGGTGGGCCCTCGCCGGGCCTCGGGGCCGTCAAAAAACGACTCAGGGCGAAAAGCCGGTCCCGGGGAAAGGGTCGGGTCTTCCAGGGACCCCATATTGAAAAACTCAGGACGTCGCATGTCTGGGGCAGGAAGACGACGACGGGGACGACGACGAGAATGGACGCACGAGTGGACCAAGAAGACGGATGGAGGCGGCGAGAACGACGACGACGAGGAGCAGGAAGACGACGACGGAAACGACGACGACGACGAGGAAAGCACGAGTGAACCAAGACGAAGGATGGAGCAGGCGAGAACGACGACGACGACGAGGAGCAAGAAGACGACGACGGCGGCGACGACGACGAGAAACCCGCGAATGGACCAAAAAGAGGGATGGAGGAGGAGAGAACGACGACAACGAGGAGGAGCAGGAAGACGACGACGGGGACGGCGACGAGGAGGAACGAGCGAACGAAGAGGCGCGAAAACCACCAGGTCTGGGCGCTGCAATTGACTCACATTGGGAGCTTCTCGCCCAGTTTCGGGCCCTGGGAGATTCACAATCGGTCGTGCTCGAAGAATGCCGCACAACACTGGAGTACAGGGCTCTGGCTTGGTGCTCTCGCGTCTTTTCACGTTTTCGCCCACAACGTCGGATCTCACCGGAGGCCACCGAAGAAAGGCGGCAAACGCTCGCTAAAACGGAGCCATCACGAGGATTCAAATTCGGGTGAGAATGAACCGAGAATCTCTGGGATCTGGCGGCTCTGGAGGGTGTCTCGGGCGCCGCGGACCTCTCGGAGCGCTCCGGCACGCTCCGAGAGCGCTCGGGAACGCTCTGGACTCTGGAACGGCTTTCTCCCCGTCCCAGCCTTAGGTCGGGCATGTCCTTTTACAGGCGGATTTGGGACAACAAACTCGAAATAGTCAATAAATATTCATACATCGCCAAAGAATCATCGAAAAATCCGCCCTGGATTATTTCTGGACTATTTTGAATCATCGTCCTGTCGAGGGACACGCGCCCGACTTCGTTTGGGTCGCTTGATTTCGTTTCCAAGTATTTCAATATTCCAAGATTTTACAACCGTAATCCAAAACTCGTCCCCTGATTGTATTTTTGACTACTTTTGAACATTCCCCGTGTAGAGGGACAGGCCCGACTTAAGTCTTCGCCCTGGCCGCTCTCCACCATTGGGCGCCGCCGCGGGGCGGGCGTTCCCGCCCTGCCCCCGCCCCGCCCCCCCTTTCTCTCCGCCGCGGCGGCGGGGGAACCCAGCGCGGGCAAGGGGCGCTCCCAGCAGCCGCGGTGGGCCCCATGTCGAGGGCAGAAAATCCACCCCGACACCCCCAAACATCGGGCGTCTCGGAAAAATCGAGACGGAGGTTTTTCGTCGTGTTCGACCTTCCTGGGCCCTCGCCGGGCCTCCGGGCCGTCAAAAACGACTTGGGGCGAAAAGCCGGTCCCGGGGAAGTGGTCGGGAGGTCGGGGGCCCGTGCACTCGAACAAATCGAGACGTCGGATGTCTGGGCTTACCACCCCGACGCGCGAGGCAGCTTCGCAAACTCACCCGAAAAGACGGAATCGAGCAGGGCTGCGGACTGCTTCGGGAACTCCCCAGGCCGTGGCCTGAGCTGGGATGCACAGAGACATACTAATACTACGTGTCCGCCTTGGAGGCGCGCGTCCGACCCGAACATATAGTATACCCATCTTGTAGTATATCGTTTCTCGAGCGGTGTGGCCAGAAAGCGCCCGCCACGACGCATATACTATAAGATTTCTCGGTTCGCGCGTCGCCTCTGGGGGGGCGACGAACACATAGTATAAGTATGTTGGGGGGACGCCGATGAGCGCCTCATTGTCGAGCCCGGGTGGCTCTCCCTCCCCTGCCGCGGCCGCGCCCGTGCTCTTCTCTGCACGTCGCGGACCGGCGAAGGGCGGGGCCGTCCGAGATGGGGCCCCTGCGGCGGCGACCGTGTTGCCAGGGCGTCTCGCTGCAGGGGTCGTTCGGCCGCTCGCGCCGGGGCGCCCAGCTCCGCGAGGGAGAACGCTTCGGCACGCAGGCGCCGATCTTCGTGCCGGCGCCCTGCGGCGCCCCGAAGGCACTTCTGGCCCCCCGCCCCCCCGCCCCGGCGCACGGAGAACGCGAGCCAGGTGGCGGCGCCGCCGCAGCCGTCGCCCGGGCGCCGCGGGCGCCGGCCCGAGAAGGCCCAGGCCGGGCACGTCCTCCCACAGGCGGACGTTCGAAGAGAAGTTGAAAAATACTGCAAGCCTGCTCGCAGGACAAACCAAAAAACTGGAAGAGAGATGCAAACGTCCCCCGGAAAATGTTCACAGTAAGAATTAAACATGCTCGCAAAAATCGTCCCCCGGCTATTTTCTGACCATGTCTGAAAATTCCTCCTGTGACAGGGACCCGCCCGACGAAAAAGAAGGCGCACTGGCACGGAGTCAGCATCGACTCGGATCGGCTTCGCCAGCAGGCGCAGCGGCGCCATGTAGGCATCGGAGGGGCAGAGGCGGCGCAGGAGGTGGGCAGGGAGCAGGAGAAGGGAGGGAGCGAGCGAGGAGGGACGCGAGCGAGGGGGGAGGCGAGGGAGGGAAGAGAGACTGGGGGCACGCAAACGCCCGCGACCCATCAGCGTGCCGCTGCTGACGAAGCACCACAGCTTCTGCGCCCTCGGCCGCCTCGACCAACCGACAGCGAGCGAATCCTCAGCGAATCCTCCTCCTCCTCCTCCTCCTCCTCCTCCTCCTCCTCCTCCTCCTCCTCCTCCTCCTCCCCCTCCCCCTTCTCCTCCTCCTCCTCCTCCTCCTCCTCCTCCTTCCTCCTCCTCCTCCTCCTCCTCCTCGTCCTCCTCGTCCTCCTCCTCCTCCCCCCCCCCGTCCTCCTCCCCTCCTTCTCTCAGGCGTGCGCGCTCCTGGCACCGCTCCCACTGGACGAAACGCCATGCCTGCGACCAACAAAAACGATGCAGCGAAGCGCTGACAGGCTCCTGATGGCGCAGGCGGCGTTTTCCCTGGTTTTCCTTTTTGAAGGGGGATGAAGCGGGGACCATGACCAAGACTGAACGCGGAAACGTCGCATCCACCCTTGTCACAGGTCATCTCGGTCAGGGTCGACTCGTGGATCAGTCTCGTGAATCGGCGACGGCTGGCACAAGCCATGACCAAGATCGGCACCGACGAGATCCCGCGAAACCCTGGTCATGGTCAACGCGCTTCTCCCCCCGATCCTCTCCCCTCCCGTGGAACGCATTCCCACCCTCGACCTTCGGCGCCCCATGGGAAACCAAAAGGCACCGATACTGCTACTTCCCCGACCACTCCTGGGGTGCGTTCTGGCCAAGATCTTGAGGCGAATCCAGCGGTGGCGAAGAGGGCGGCCTCCCAGGAGGCCCCAAAAAAGGAAGACGAGGTAAGGGTAGCGGTATGGGGTACCTGTTCCTCCTACGATCTTCCCCGAGCTTTCCTTGAGCAGGGACCAACCGTCTGGGCATTCCTATAGGTCTACCACGATATATGTTTCGAGCCAACTAATGATCAAAAACCAAGACAAGGCTCGTAGAACAGAAAGCCGGTGTGCTAACCAGAACGGTACTCAGAACATGTCGCGCAAACCACATAATATTCTAAGAACTTTGCCTGCTGGGCCAGCAAGCAAGCCACGCCGCCAGGGAAAACGACGGACGGGCAACGGTAATCCCAGAGATCCGACGTCGTGATTGTTGTCAATGTCGAGAGCGGCCAAGAGGGTGGCGTCCAAGAGAAGGGGGCGCAAATCATGGCCGGCGGCATGTGCGCGGTCCAGGGGGGGGGGGCCAGGGACGTAATGAAATAAGAAGAGGCGCCATGAAATCTTGGGAGATATCATGGCCCCCGCCATGATATCCACCCCCCCTAGTCATCACCCCCCTCTTTGCCGCTTGCGGGGTCCCCCGAAGGCCCGACCCTTTCCCCGGGGCAAGTTTTTCGTCCTGCGTCGTTTTTTTGACGGCCCCGAGGCCCAACGAGGGCCCCGAGAGGCCACAAACCGCGAAAGGCAGCCGTCTCGATTTCTCAATGGATCTCTGGGATTCTGGGCACCTTGGTAGGGAAACGAACTCTATGCACCGACGCTTTTTCCGACCCTGCGCTGACATTCGCACAGGAACGCGGATCCTGGTGTATACGGGATCCTGGTGTTTACGTTTGTCGTTGTCTCCCTGGGAAGATGGGGGAAAAATATACACCACACCACCCCGACGTCGCCCCCGACCCTCAAAGAAGCCGTGGGATTGAGAAAACCACCCGGCACTGGTAAGGTACTGCAGGTTCGTGCTGTGTCGACCCTGGCGTTGGTTCCTGACACCGCGCTGGATCGTTCTACCTTGAACGATCGGCCGTCTCCGCAACGTCCGATCGTTCAACACCGACCGATTCTGGGCCGCCGTCGGCGTTCAACGTTGAACGTCGGCGGCGGAGTCGCCGCCCGTCGACACGACACGAACCTACAGTATATCTTCCAGCTTGCGACTTGGCCTCCTCCGAGCTCCAGCCCCCCCGGCGCGAGCGCGCCTGGCGCCGCTCCCGCCGGCCCTCCCGCGCCGCGGCGGCCTACGCCCCCCCGGGCGAGAGGCGCTGGGCCGACGCCGCCACCGACGCCGTCGGCGCCGACGCCGCCGCCGCCGCCCGCGACGCCGCCGGCGACGTCGCCGGCGACGTTCCACCCACGCCACCCTCCTCCTCCTCCTCCTCCTCCTCCTCCTCCTCCTCCTCCTCTCCTCTCCTCCTCCTCCTCCTCTCTCCCCTCCCCCTCCTCCCCCTCCCCCCTGCCCCTCCTCCCCCTCCCCCTCCTCCCCCTTCCCCCTCCCCCTTCCCCCCCTCCCTCCTCCTCCCTCCTCCTCCTCCTCCTCCTCCTCCTCCTCCTCCTCCTCCTCCTCCTCCTCCTCCTCCTCCTCCTGCTCCTCCTCCTCCTCCTTCTCCTCCTGCTTGTCGTTCTTCCCGTCCCGTGGCGCTGATGCACCACCGCTGGCGCCGCCGTTGCCACCGCCCACGAAGTCGCCGGCGATGCCAGCATCGGCGCCGTCGCCGTCGACATCGCCGTCGCCGGAACCGACGGCGCCGCCGTCGGCGGAGAGAGGAGGGAGGAGCAGAGGAGGCGGGCGGAAGGGCCTCCGGAAGCTCTCGGGGACCGCTGCGGAGGCGACTCGGGGCCTCGAAGGCCCCAGGGGACGAAACAGGAAGGAGGGGGAGCATGACCAGGCTCGCCATAACTAGTCCGAGTTTTTTAGTGAGCGTCGGGGGGGCGCCATCCCCCGTCGACAGCCCCGCATCGACCTCCGTCGCTGGCAGCCACCGCGCGCCGAAGGCGCTCCGACACCCGTCGCAGTGCGACGACGAGGCGAGGGTGACCCCCGTCGGTGGGGTCCCCCCCCACGCTTATTAAGAAACCCAGGGTAAGCTTACTAAGATACTCAGAGCAAGCCTCTCCACTGTGCCCACACCGTCTTAGACGGCAGCGGGCCACCAACCTCCTCCTCCTCCTCCTCCTCCTCCTCCTCATTATGCTCCTCCTCCTGGAGATGTCGCCGCCGCCTCCTCCTCATGGAAGGTGAAAATCACCGTTCGGCTTTCGATTGGAATGGGAATTCCTGGCTTCCTGGCACTGGAATTCCTGGCCCCTGACGGCCTTCGCCCTTCCCACTCGGTGGCCCGAATCCTCGCGCTTTACACCGCGCTCCACGCGAAGTGCGACAATTTTTCTCGAGGCCCTCGGGCATTCTGGCCCAGACCCTGGAGCCGGTGTGCAGTTGCGTTCGCGCTAATGCGGGCGGCTTAGTCTCATGAGGGCTCTACTCAAACTGCGCACTGCGCAATGTGTGTGTGTGTGCGAATAGGAGCTCCTGGATTAGAGGCTGCGGAATTGCTGGGCTATCAATCTCTCGCCATCGCTCGGACGTCCATTCCCTGTGTTTTCTTCGGTGTCGTGCGTGTTTTTTTCGCCAAATGATCAAGGATGCTCCTCGATGGTTCCCGCCGAGAAAAAATGCACACGTCCGAGCGATGCCAGGATCTGGGATGTGACGAGAGAACTATTCCCAGGGATGTGGCCCTCGCTTGGGCGGGAGAGCCATTCCAATAAAAGCGTGTGGCCAGAAAGTAGGTGTTACAGTCGAGGCGTTGACCTAAGGAACCCAAAATAAGGAACGAGGCCCCATTTTTCATAAGTTAACCTTCGACTTCCCATCGAAAGCTTAAGGAAAACCTTGGGCAAGGTGTGGAACAATTAAGGAACACCGAGCCCCTCCCCAACGAAAAGGCTTCCTTCCTCAGGGCCCCGACTGTATCCTCATCCCGCGGGGCTCAGGTCGGGTGCCACCAGGGTCCGGGCGAGGCTCACGTGGGGCGGGAAGGGTTGTACCAAGGTGGCCACAATGCTGGCATACCGCACGAGCGGGAAGAGAGAAACGGGACGGGACAGAGAAAACGGCCACCCCTGCCGCCGAGCGAACCTGCCCTGCCCCGTTCCCTCAGGCTGGCCCGGCCAGAACGGCATCCCGATCAAGGAGGGGAGGGGGTGGGCGGGGCAGGATCCTCCTCCTCCTCCTCCTCCTCCTCCTCCTCCTCCTCCTCCTCCTCCTCCTCCTAGGATAAATCAACGGGAAACCAGATCGGCTCGGAGCGTGCACCGGGTCGGGCCGCCTCGGCACAGCGCGTCGGCATCGAATCGGAGGTGGGCAACGCTGGGGCAACACGCCAACATCGGGCCGCATCGGACCAGATTGTCGGAATCACGGGACTCGGAATCTAGGAGGAGGAAAAACCACATGAACATAAACTCTTTTGGCGCTCCGCGCGGATTTCTTGCATCCGCATCAGACCCCCTCCCTGACGCGCGGAGCGCGCCACGGAGGCGCCGCCAGGGGGCCCAGGCGCGGATCCAAGAAATCCGCAGGGAACGCAAACAGTTTATGTTGTGTATTTTCTTCTTCGAAGTAAACACACACAAACACATGATGGCGGCGCGCACAAGGGGTGGAGGAAGGGGGGAGGGCTTCTGAGAAGGAGGCTGCTTCTTGGAAGGCGCTGGCCCTGCATCTACAGAGAAGGCCCGCGCCTTCTGGGAGCCCTCCCCACTACCCCCACCCCCCTCTGCGCGTGGCTGAACAGTGGGCCAACACACGTCCTGAAGATCATCGATCGGGGCCCAGGCCTCTGCCACGCCGGCGGCCCAGCCGGCGAGGGCCACGAGCAGGGGCAGGCGTGCGCCTGCCGTCGCGCTGCGGCGCTGCCGTCGCCGAGGCCGTCGCCGGCGCACCGACGACGACGACGCCGACGACGACGACGCCGACGACGACGACGACGACCACGACGACCCCGACGCCGACGACGCCGACGACGACGCCGACGACGATGTCGCCACCGTGCAACAGCAGCAGGGAAAACAGACATTGCGACGGCCGACGGCGGCGGCGCCCCCTTTCAGGCTGATTTTGGTCGAAAAATGAAATGGTCAACAAACATTCAATTTTTTCAACAAAACATTGAGGGAAATCGTCCCAGGACTATTTTTGGACTAGTTTTGAATATTTCCCCTGTTAAGGGACAGGCCCGACTTAATCCCAAGCCGTCGTAGGCGTCGGCGACGCTGTCGTCGTTTGAGAAACGAGGGCGGAGGCGTGGGGCGCTTCTGGCCCACGTTGAGCTTCTGGGGCGCCTCCAAGGACCCTGGAGGCCCCAGGGACCTCCAAAAACTTCCATCTCTCCCTCCTCCTCCTCCTCCTCCGCCTCCTCCTCCTCCGTCGCCGCTGCCGTCACCACCGACTTCGTCGCATGAGTCCTCCTTCCAGCTGGGTTTCACCTCGGCCTCCCTCCTCCTTGACCTCGAAAAATTGTATGGCCACGTCAGCATGCTGTTGCTTATGCGTGTCTCGGTCGAGCAGGGTTTTCCGCCGATTGTCACCCTTTTAGAGGTGCAGATGTTCCTTGCTCCCAGGATCCTTCGGTCCAGGAGCATCGCGTCGGATTTAACTTTCCCTACCCGTTCTACTGTTGCTGGTTCAGCCCACGGTGTCAAACTCGCCGAGGTTTTCCTGGGCCCGATTTTGTCGGCCGCTCACGCGGCATCGGGGGCCCGTGCCCTTGTCTCCTCCGCGGGCCTCTGGACCTTTGTTGACGACACCGTGGCGCGGGCTGAGGGTACTGAGGAGAATGTGATTGCCCAGCTTTCCACTGTCGGCCAGTCTTTCGCCCGATCGTTTGCCTTGCATCAACTGCCCGGTTCGCCCAAGACCAAGGTCATTGCATCCTCGCCTAAGGTTGGTAAGCGCATCGTGGCCAACCTGAGGGAGGTTGGCATCCCAGCCTCCCTGGCGGTCCAAGCTGTCGACCTGGGGTGCGACACGGGAGGTGGGGCTCGTCGGGTGGTCGTGAAGCTTTTGGACCGCCAGAGGAAGGCCCGTCCACGAGCGCAGCGCATTAGACGCTTGCGACGCCACGCCAAGGCGGCCAAAGTATCGCAGGGGCTTTGGTTACAGAGGGCCCTCCCCCAGGCCGTTTATGGCCATCAGGCCATGGGCCTATCCCCTTGATCAATTCTAGCCTTGAGGCGTCAGGCATCCCAATCAGTGGCCAGTAAAAGTCCAGGCCGCTGTCTTACCACGGTGCTCTCTCTGTTTTATGTTGTCCGCGAGCCCTACATCGCATAGAGGGTTCAGATTTTGTTCACGTGGTTTGACATGTGGAATAGGTTCCCTGAGTTGCATGGGCGCAGCTCCCGCTCGTGGCACCACATTAGGGGACGCCTGGACCTGTTGGCCTCGAAACGCTGGCGTCGGGTGAGGGGTCCGATTGGGGCCGTCGTCGCCACGCTTCTCGACGTTGGTTGGAAGCCAGTGTCCCCCGTTGAATGGCACAGACCCGTGGGCGACCAATATGAAGTTTGGCACTCCCCTGATCGTGACGACATTGGGCGCCTGGAAGGTGATTTTGATGTCGCTGAGTTGGTTGACGACTTCAGGGAAGATTTAACTGCGATCTTGTGGGCTCAGGCAGCGGCCCACCCTCACGGCGAGGACCTGGCCGAGGGGGCTGACCTCCTGCCTCTGCGTCAGGAGCTCAGGCGTCTCGAACGTAGGGATCAGTACGAGCAGGTAGGCCTTCTCGCGACTGTCGTGTCAGGGGGACAGTGGACCCACGTCCGCCAACTTGAGGCGGGGTATGCTGTTGCCACTACCTGTCCCCGATGCGGCTTGGCCCCCGAGACGCTTTGTTTCACAGAGTGTGGGAATGCCCTAAGAATTGCAATCATGAGGCCTTTGAGCTCTCGGACGGCCTATGCCACCAGGCCCGAGTGGGGCACGAGGCGAATCCTGCCCTGTGGCTCCGTGGCCTGCCACCTAGGTCTTTAACCTGCCCTGTGTTCAAGGACGGTGGGGCGGATGTGGCTTGGGAGGTGGGGTCGTCGCCGTCGTAGTCGTGGGATCCTCTGTCGATGCGGCTGCGGCCAAGTCCCCTGCGGGGCTCTTGCTGGTTTTTGGAGATGGCTCAGGAGGCGCCTTCAGCTCTGACCCGCGCCGCCGACGTGTCGGCGCGGCCGCTGTGCTGGTGGCCTGGGATGGCTCTAAGTGGGCCCGACTTAAGGGCTGGGCTTCCACCATCTCAGGCCGCCGCCAGACGGGCCCCAGGGCTGAGCTGTTGGCTTTCGAGCTGGCTCTCCGCAGTGTCCCAGGGAGTTTCGAGTATGCTACTGACAACCAACCCCTGTTAGAGGGGTGGCGGCGACGTCGCTTCCTTCACAGCAGTGGTGTGAATTCGGACGTTTGGTTTTGTATCCGCCTGGCCCTTGAGGGCCGCGAGAATGAGATTTCTGTTCGGTGGACCCCCTCCCACCTGGATCCCTCTGACCCCTCCTTGTCGGAGGACCAGGTTATTCTCGCGGCGGGCAATGAGTCGGCTGATGAGTTGGCTGGCCTGGCCGCGCAGGAGTCTTGGGACCTCGCCACTCGCGGTCAGCGTATTCCTGACACTGACCGATGGGATGCCACATGTTTTTTGGTCCGCCAACGGGCCGCCCAAGCGTTGGCGGAATCCATTCGTGTGGCCCTTGGACCGCGGACAGGCCCAAGATGGGCCGTTCCACTGTCACCAAACTTCAGGCTGCCCTCAGGGGTAGCTCGCACTGTTTGATTAAGACTGGCGCGAAGTGGGTTTGCTCACTTTGCTCGACCATCTTTCCCTCGGCGAATGTCTTCGAGGCTTGCGGTCAGCCCTGCCCCGCTGTGGACAATGGCGAGACGTTGCAGGAGTTTGGCCATGGTATCTCTCGGGTGAGGCGGGCGGTGACGGTGGGGGGGGAGTCTTTGCATCCCAGTCACTGTTTGCATTTCTGGCCCGAACACTCACTGTACTTTTGTGCTCGGTGTGAAGTCGGCTACTGTCGACCCGAGGCAATTACGCAGCGAGTGCTCCCAGTGCTCTAAGAAAGGGCACGAGAATCTTCTCAGAATTCGTCGGGGGCTTTTCCCTGGCCACAAGGGTCCCTCGGCCCCCGTCTTGGAGGCCGCCGTCAGCCGGGTCCGACGCGTCGAGGGGCGTCGGTTAATCCCTGGCTCTCGCTAGTCCCGCCTGCCACGTAGACTGTGGCGATCATGACACTCATGACACCACCGACTTCGTCGTGGTTCGCGTCCGTTGTTCGTTGTCGTCGTTCGTCGTCGTAGTCGACGTCGTTCACCGTTACCTTTCTGGCTCGTCGTCGTCGTCGCGGTGATCGTCGCCGTCTTCGTTCGTCGTCTTCTGAAGTCGTCGACCAGTCGTCGCCGTCGTCGTCTTCGTCGTCGTCGGTGTCGGCGTCGGCGTCGTCGTCGTCGTCGTCGGCACCTCGTCGCGAGCCCGTCGCCTGCACAAAGTGCCAGGGTGGGGTGCCACCATACTCACAGAGCGTGAAGGCGTTCTTTAGTTCATCCACGATTCACTCACGTGACACTCCCCCTCCCCGCCCCCCTTATGCCCCCCCAGACATGCGACGCCATGTTTTTTCCAGGACGGCCTCCCCGGAAGTCCCGACCCTTTCCCCGGGACTGGTTTTTCGTTCTGAATCGTTTTTTGACGGTTCCGAGGCCCGGCGAGGGCTTCCCGGGGCCGAAAACAGCGAAAAGCCTCCAACCCTGATTGTTTTACGACGCGATCATGTCTGGGCCCCTTGCTCTTCTCGGGTGCTCGTCAACACGGGGGGGCAACAAACGCGGGGTGAGAAGAATCGTACACCTTCCGTACACCCTGCGAAATGCTTAAGAAATCATGGGTTAAGAAATTCATAGTCTCAGAACTTGAATAAAAACCCAACATTTCCATTAAAATCTTAAGATTTACATTGAAACGTTAAGAATAATCGAGACTCTGGCCGAAAACTTAAGTTTTCTTAAGCATCGCCTAAGGTGTACACCTGCTGGGCCCACAGGGGGCATGTCGGGGGCCGCAGAGGGCCCATTGAGGGGCACCCCTCCTGCAAGCATAGCTCCCCCATGTGGGGCCACTTTCTGACACTTTAGGGCCACCTTCCTGACGACGACGACGTCTCCTTCTCCTCCTCCTCCTCCTCCTCCTCCTTCTCCTCTGCCTCCTCCCCCTCCGTGGCCGTCCGCCCGATCCCGATCCTGCTCGCCGCCGTCCCTCCTGCCCCCCCCCCAGCGCTGACGGCCCCCGCGCCTCCGGCAGCAGAGAAGCGTCGCCCCATCCGCGCTGCGGGCCAGCGACAAGGTGCTGCAATAATCACAGGGAGGTCTGGCGCCCGGGCTCCCTCCGTGCGGGTTTGCGGGCGCTGGGGGGGGGGAGAAGAGGAAAACATGCGGAGAAGTGATACGGAAAGTGGGGGGGGGGGAGGAGGAGGAGGAGGAGGAGGAGGAGGAGGAGGAGGAGGAGAGGAGGAGGAGGAGGAGGAGGAGGAGGAGGAGGAGGAGGAAGAGGAGGAGGAGGAGGAGGAGGAGGAGGAGGAGGAGGAGGGCAACTCTCGAAAGTTCCGTGGAGGGAAGACCTCGTGGCAAGCGGCCGCGGGCGCGCTTCCGGAGCGCGGGCCCGCGCACGCCAACGGCCGGAAACACACACGGCGGACTTCCACAAGCTGCCGCGAGAACGGGAGAAGACGGGGAGGGACGGAGCAGGAGAAGGGCAGGGGGCAGGAGCAGCAGCAGCAGCCGCAGCAGCGGCTGCGCTCGGCTGGCGAGGGAAAAGAGAAGGACGGAAGAGGACGAGTCGGAGGCGGAGCAGCATACCATGGGGGAGACGGACAAAGGGGCGGATGGGGTGGACTTGAAGGTGGTAGGGGGTAAGGGGGAGGGATGGGGGTGGAATGAGAATACCAGGAGGGAGGACGATGACGCAGCCCAATGCGCGCCGAGTGGTATGATGACTGACGCTCGATCACCCGGCCGACTGCTGGACGTAGCTCGTGCCCGTGGCTTTCAAAGACGTCTGTGCAATCAACGCCGCAATCTGGAATTAGTCGCCGATCACAGCACTAGAGAAGCCATGCTGCGGCTGCGAGCACAAAACAAGCGGTCCTCGGCCGATCGCTGAACATAGTCGGACGGCAGAAGGGTAAACACAAGGAAGCGGCCCGCACGGACACCTGAACCAGTGGCACCTAGAACATGGGGTCGCCTACCCAGACGTGGCATGAGCCAACAGGTTTGTCGACCCTGTTGAGAGGGGCGCTGGTGGCCCAGGAAGTACACACTCCTTTCAACCACGCCGCGCCCAGGCAAGAGGCCCAGACGTGCGTCCTGAATTTTTCAGGACGGCGTCCCTGGAAGTCCCGACCCTTTCCCCGGGACTGGTTTTTCGTCCTGAGTCGCTTTTTGACGGTCCCGAGGCCCGGCGAGGGCTTCCCAGGGCCGAGAATAGCCAAAAACCTCCCGCCCTGATTTTTTGTTTGGACGCGATCATGTCTGGGGGGGCAATGTTGGTGATGATGTTCACCCTCGGGGACCATGACGGCCAGCACGCGATGGCGAACCCGGACGGAGACCACTGAGGGGGCCCTGGGACGCACAAATAAATAGACACAAGTTACAGGATTCCCTATAGTTTCCTGTATTTTCTGGGATGTCGTCTCCCCCCCCACTTCCCACATTCTCCCACATCTTCTGGGGAATCGACGATTCATTGTGTCCGTGCTTCTTCCCTCCTGAACCACGGGGGAGCGCCCGCAGCCTGGCCTCTCCATCTGCACGCCGAGTGGACCGCACCCTGGATGACTACCTACCAGACCACCCCAACCCAACCCGAAGACCCGAGTTTCGGGTTGGGGGGGGTATGGGCTCCATATGTGTTTTTTCGATGTTCCCAGACCCCCCCCCACTAGAAATCGAGGGTAAATCTGAGCCTTCGGGTTGGGTTGGGGTGGTTTGGTGGGTGGTGACTGGAGCCGGCGCGCGTGGGGGCCTCCAGACGTGGTCGCGTCGTAGCAAAATCCGGGCGGGAGGTTCTGCGCTGTGTTCGGCCATCGCGTGCTGGCCGTCATGGTCCCCGAGGGTGAACATCATCACCAACATTGCCCCCCCAGACATGATCGCGTCCAAAAAAAAATCAGGGCGGGAGGTTTTTGGCTATTCTCGGCCCCGGGAAGCCCTCGCCGGGCCTCGGGACCGTCAAAAAACGGCTCAGGACGAGAAACCAGTCCTGGGGAAAAGGGTCGGGACTTCCGGGGACCGCCGCCCTGAGAGAATCAGGACGTCGCGTGTCTGGGCCCACGATTGTCAGCGGCATCGCGGTCAACGCTTCGAGGCTCTAGGCGGCAAGATCCCACGGCAACCAGCAGCAGCAGATCCGCACCAATTCGGATGTCGAACATGTGAGCCGATCCCACTTCTCGACGTCAAGATACGCTAACATCCCTCGGGGCTTCTCATATCTACCCGACGTAAGAGCAACGCTGTGCGCGCCAGCCTCCCTGAACGTCCCATGAGGAACCGCCGCGAAGACGGGTGAACTATGATGTTGGCAGGGTGAACGAGCAAAAAGGTATGCATCACTTGTCCTCGCGCTGTCATCGAGATGCGCCTGCTGGCCCGGCCGAGCGCCAGCGACGCACGGGGAAAGACGACGCCAGCGGCGCATCGGCCATGGAAGCGTTGCGCAAACGATGAACATGTCTGAAGTCGGGCATGTCTCCCTACAGGCGGATGTTGGGCGAATACTGAAACATACGCAAAACATACTCAAACATAGGCAGAGCATCATAATCTAAACATCGTCCCCATACTAATTGTCTGACCATTCTTGAACATTCCTCCTGTAGAGGGACATGCCCGACTCAACGCATGCCGCATCGCGCTGAATCATGGTGAGGTTGACGCCCTCACATTGGCGCAGCCTCCGCGAGGCCCGGCGCAACCGGCCGGCAAGAGCCACGGCAGCATCAACGAGTGCCCGGTGGGGGTCGACGTCCTGCGCGAGGGCCAGGGATGCAACATGCGGCGCGCCGCGCGCGCCTCGGGAACTCGGCGCTGGGCGCCATCCGAAACTCGGGGCCGCCCGTCCCAATGGCCGCCCCGAGATACCTCTCCCCAAAAAATCGCCCTTGGACAACTTCGCCCGGATCTCAGAGCCACGGGGCTGCCGAGACCGGAGGGCAGGAGCATGGCGCAACCACGGGCCGACCAGCACTCTCCACGTCGAGCGGGAGCACGGTCAGCAAGACGGCATGCGAGATAAGTGGAAGCAGCAGCGGAGTCGCAGCTGGGGGCAACGCAAATATCGCTGGCGCGTGGACGGCCTTTGCGGCGGGATCGTTGCCAATTTCAGTCAGCGAAGGATCGGGTCAGCAGGAGCAGGAGTACAGCAATTTAGGAGAACAAGCAAATCCCCCGAATCATTTGCTGGCGAAGATAATGCCAAGCATAGAGATGCAGCGCAGCATGTCAAGCATGACATGACATCATCGCCTTGATGACACGACTAATGGGCCCTGGTCGGTAGCATGTGCTCTCCCAGCAGCAACCTCATTGATGCCGCGCTCAGCGTTCTCGCCAGCTGCTAAGTGGTGTGACCTGCGGGTGGCTGTGGTTCAGCCTCGAACACAGGTGGCGCAACACTCACATGGTCGCCTGCCGACCCGGCCACTCCCTTGGGCCAGCCCCTCGGCAATGATCAAACTCAAGATGCCAGGGCATGCAGCTTTCGCTTCAGCCCACATGGCTAAGGAAGGGCGGGGAGTAGACGATGAGGGGGAAGACGAGGGCGAAGGGGGTGTTAAAGAGAGGCCGAGGGACACACAAACAAATATACACAAATCCTAATTCGGTTTCCTTATATTTTCCTATATATATACTAGAACCACGCGCGCGCTTCGCGCGCGCTTAGGTTCTGTCGAGTCACAGACCCAGGAATCGTTGCGAGAAGAAATTGGTGACGCGAAGCGTCTTGGGGGCGTCCTTGGACGTCTGGGGTCTCCTGGGGCCTCTTGAGGGGCCTCCTTGGGGCCTTCTTGGGCTCCATCTGGAAGCCAAGATGGATGCAACAAGAGGGTGCTTGGGCTCTCCGTGAGCTATCCTCTGGTTTTCATTCCCCTGGAGAGGAGAAGGAGGAGGAGGAGGAGGAGGAGGAGGAGGAGGAGGAGGAGAAGGAGGAGGAGGAGGAAGATGCAGAGGAGGGAGGAGGAGGAAGGAGAGGAGATGTTGGGGCGCTCTTGGGGCCCTCTTGGGCTCTCTTGGGGCTCGTCGGGGCCCTCGTGGGGCCACCTTGGGCTCCTCTCGGAGCTCCAAGAGGAGCCCACAGAGGGGCCCAACATCGGTCACGCGAGAGCTCTTTCGCGTGACCGATGTTGGGGCCCTCTTGGGGCCCTATTGGGCCTCCTTGGGCCCTCTTGGGGTCTCGACGGGGCCCTCGTGGGGCCATCTTGGGCTCCTCTCGGAGCACCAAGAGGAGCCCAAAGAGGGGGCCCAACATCGGTCACGCGAGAGCTCTTCCGCGTGACCGATGTTGGGGCCATCTTGGGGTTCCTTGGGCCTCCTTGGGCCCACGTGGGGCTCCCTCGGGGCCCTCGTGGGGCCATCTTGGGCCCCTCTTGGAGCTCCAAGAGGAGCCCAAAGAGGGGCTCAACATCGGTCACGCGAGGGCTCTTCCGCGTGACCTATGCTGGGGCTCTCTTGGGTCCCTCTTGGGCCTGCTTGGGTCCTCTTGGGGTCTCGTCGGGGCCCTCGTGGGGCCATCTTTGGCTCCTCTCGGAGCTCCAAGAGGAGCCCACAGAGGGGCCCAACATCGGTCACGCGAGAGCTCTTCCGCGTGACCGATGTTGGGGCTCTCTTGGGGCTCTCTTGGGTCCCTCTTGGGCCTCCTTGGGCCCACGTGGGGTTCCCTCGGGGCGCCCTCTTGGGCCTGTCTTGGGGCCCTCTTGGGCCATCTTGGGCGCCTCTTGGGCCGTCTTGGGGCCCTCTTGGGCTGTCCTGGGGCCCTCTTGGAAGCTTCTTGGGCCGTCTTGGGGCGGTCTTGGGCGCCTCTTGGGCCGTCCTGTAACGTCGGAAAACCCAAAAGACAACTTTGTTGAACATGTACGTTTTACGAAGGGAATGGGCCAATTTTTGCGTCGAGGGGCCCTCTTGGGACGCATGTTGGAGGCTTCTTGGGGCCTCTTGGGGGCGTCCTTGGACGTCTGGGGTCTCCTGGGGCCTCTTGAGGGGCCTCCTGGGGGCCTCCTGGCGGCCTCTTGGGGCGGAAGGCTCGAGCTTGCGGTTCGTGGTCCCCCTCTGGGCCCCCTCTTGGGCCCGTCTTGGGGCCCTCTTGGGCCATCTTGGGCGCCTCTTGGGCCGTCTTGGGGCCCTCTTGGGCTGTCCTGGGGCCCTCTGGGAAACTTCTTGGGCGGTCTTGGGGCGGTCTTGGGCGCCTCTTGGGCCGTCCTGTAACGTCGGAAAGCCCAAAAGGCGACTTTGTTAAAAATGTACGTTTTACGAAGGGAATGGGCCAATTCTTGCGTCTAGGGGCCCTCTTGGGACGCATGTTGGAGGCTTCTTGGAGCCTCTTGGGGGCGTCCTTGGACGTCTGGGGTCTCCTGGGGCCTCTTGAGGGGCCTCCTGGGGGCCTCCTGGCGGCCTCTTGGGGCGGAAGGCTCGAGCTTGCGGTTCGTGGTCCCCCTCTGGGCCCCCTCTTGGGCCCGTCTTGGGGCCCTCTTGGGCCATCTTGGGCGCCTCTTGGGCCGTTTTGGGGCCCTCTTGGGCTGTCCTGGGGCACTCTTGGGAGCTTCTTGGGCCGTCTTGGGGCGGTCTTGGGCGCCTCTTGGGCCGTCCTGTAATGTCGGAAAGCCCAAAAGGCAACTTTGTGAAAAATGTACGTTTTACGAAGGGAATGGGCCAATTTTTGCGTCTAGGGGCCCTCTTGGGACGCATGTTGGAGGCTTCTTGGGGCGTCTTGGGGGGCGTCCTTGGACGTCTGGAGGCCATCTTCAGCATCTCGGAGCCCTCTTGGAGGCCTCTTGGAAGTTTCTTGGGCCGTCTTGGGCGTTTCTGGGGCCGTCTTGTCTGACCGGGGAGGCCTCCGGCAAGCCCCGACGAGCCTCCGGGGCCCCCGGAGTGCACATTTGCGGTCGAGGTCCCGGCCCCGGGCCCCCGGACCCGGTGCGCCGTTATATGTATATATGCTGGGTCCTCGTCTTTCCCCCCCCTCCCCATGTTTTCTTATATTCTCTTGGGAATCGACGATGCGTTGTGTCTGTGTGTGGTTCCCCCCCTGAGGCATGATGATGACTAGGCTGGTGTCGGGAGGTCGCCCACCACAATGCCGTGCCGCCACGATCAAGCGCTGTGCTGTGGCCGGTGGCCGGGCCAGCTGGGGCCCCGGTCGGTGGCATGACCGCTCCAGTGAGCGAGATGCTACCCTGCCCGGGTGGGCCTCCGGGGAAAACTGGGCCGCGCGTCACGCCACCTCCTTCTCCTCCTCCTCCTCCTCCTCCTCTTCCTCCTCCTCCTCCTCCTCCTCCTCCTCCACCTCCCCCTCCTCTTCCCCCTCCTCCTCCTCCTCCTCCTCCACCTCCTGCTCCTCCTCCACCTCCTCCTCCTCCTTACTCCTCCTTCTCCTCTGGGGGAAACTCTCCAAGAGGATGGGGGGGGGGCTTGGGGCCTACGCAAGAGAAAGGGGGGACGAGGAAGCAGGATGACAGGTAGACAGCTGGCGCCCCCCGAAACGATTCCACCTTCGCTCCCCTCCTGGGTCGCCTCCTCCGACTCGTCTTCGTCCTGCTACTTCCCCCCCTCCCATCCCCTCCCCATCCTCCTCCTTCTTTTCATCCCCTCCTGGTTGTCCCGTCCCCTCCATCCGGCACCTTTCCCCCCCCCTTTTCATCCTCCTCAGCCTCTGGCTGTTTCTCCTCCTGCCACCTCTCCTGCTCATCATGCGCCTCCTCCCCCCCCTCGCACCCGCCCTCGCTTCCTTCCCCCCCATCCACTCCGGCGCGGTCAGGGTCAGGGTCAGGAGGGAGGATGGAGAGTGGTGGAGGACGGTGAGGAAGAAGGAAGAGATGGAGAGCGGAGACGAGGAGAAAAAGGCCGGTGAGGAGACGAGGAGGAGGAAGGAGAAGTGAGGAAGAAGGGAGGGATGGAGAGCGGAGAAGGAAGTGATGGTGAGGAAGAAGGGAAGTGTGGAGGACGGAGAGCGGTGGAGGAGGAAGAGGCGATGTGCAGCACGACCGCCTGGGGCGGGCCGCATCACGAACTGCACCTGCGAGTGTGGCGAAAGCGCTCAAAACCGAACTGAGCGGTCGTGCGTAAAGGGGGGGGCGAGCTCGGCGAGCAGCGGGGGGCAAAATGAGCAGGACAAAAAGCAAGCGGAGGAAGAGAAGGATATACACCCTGCGAAATGCTCAAGAAATCATGGGTTAAGAAATTCAGTCTCAGAAATTGAATAAAACCCAGAACTTCTATCAAAATCTTGGGATTTACATTGGAAAATTAAGAATAATCGAGACTCTGGACGAAAACTTAGGTTTTCTTAAGCATCGCCTAAGGTGTATAGAGGGGGGGAGGACGGGGGGCCAAAGGAGAGGAGGAGGACGAGGAGGAGGTTCCTCCTACGCTTCGCCCCGCTTCGCGCTTCGCGCCCCCGCCCATCCGTGAAGTGAGGGGGCGGGACCGCGCGCTCACGACCTGGGGCCCGACACGGCTGCGGGCGCGGGCGGCGCCGAGGGGCCGGCCGCTGGCGGAACGTGGGGGGAACGAAGGGCGGGGGCAGGAGCTCCAGCTGCTCCCCCACACACACTTCCCTTGTCCTCGCTCCTCCTCCTCCTGGGATCAGGTCACGCGGCGTGTCCCCCCATACAGAGAAATGCTCGACGACAAACTCAGGATACTGGACAAAGATTCCAAAATAGGATCAGCAAAAAAGTCTGGGGACTATTGTTGAGCCTTTTGGGTGTATTGTTTGACTATTTTCCATTTTTCGTCCACAATCCCCCTGTAGACGTCGGTCGGAAGAAGTAGGTAGAAACATGAAGTAGGAAGGCGGATATAGTAGATTGGGTCCAGGATCTCCCACATAATAACAAAACATCGCAAAAGCATGCCGATTCTTGAAGTAGGAAGGCGCTTGAAATAGATTGGGACCTGGGAATCCAAAAATACGTACTTTCAACGACCGGCGTGTAGGGGGGCAGGCCCGACTTAATCCTGGGAGGAGGGAGCGGGGCGGGCCCCCAGGTCGCGTCTGCGATCAAGCACTCCTCAGGATAGGAGGAAACTGATGGGCCTGCTTTCCACCACCACCACAAGTTGGAGGGGGAGGGGGTCCTCCTCCTCCTCCTGCTCCTCCTCTCCTCCCCCTCCCTCCCTCCCCTCCTCCTCCTCCTCCTCCTCCTCCTCCTTCTCCTCCTCCTCCTCCTCCTCTTCCCCCTCCTCTTCCCCCTCCTCTTCGTCCTCCTCCTCCTCGTCCTCCTCTTCGTCCTCAACCTCCTCGTCATCCCTTCCCCTCTCCAACTTATGGTGGTGGTGGTGGTGGAATTGTTTTTTGTTTTCCTGCCGCAGCCGGTGCGCGCGCGTGTGGCTTCACTGTACGTGGCTCGGGCGCGCCGCGGCGGGAGGCTGTAGCGCCGCCGCCGCGCGCGCGAGCGGGGCCCCGGGGGCCGGCCGACCGTGGGTGCGGCCGCACGGGTGCCCGAGGCAAGGCTGGAGGCGGAGGCACGGCGCCACGGCGGGCGCGAGCCGAAGGACAAAAGAGCGAGGCGCGAGAGGCCGACGCGCCCGGCGCGTCGAAGGGGCAGAGCGGGCCGCGCTCGGTCGGCCCGCGGGGCGCATGGATTGGGTGGCCTACACGACGTTTCAAGCTACCGCCAGAGAAAGATCGCGGAAACCGCCCCGACGGCCAGCCACGCTCCGCGCTGCGCTGTGCTCGCCGCGGCCGCCGGAGGCCCTGCCGCCGCGCGCCCCCGCCGCCCCGCAGAAATCCACGCCGAGCTGCAGGAGGGCGTGCTCGCCGAGCCCCTCCGGCCTGTGCAGGAACTTCCACGCCCTCGGCCTGGCGCGACCCCCCTGGCCGAACCCCTCCGACCCGACCCAGATTGCAGAAGGGCGTGCCGTAGGAGGCGCACCCCCCCGCGTAGCAGCACTGGGCCCCCTCCGCGGCCGCCGGCGACGGCGCCGTCGAGGGCGCCGCCGCCGGCGAGGGCGCCGCTGCCGGCGAGGGTGGCGCCGGGGCGGCGCCCGCCGGGTCGGCGCACAGCGAGCCCCCGCATCTCTGGCAGGCCTCCCCCGACCCGGAGCACCACGTGCCTGCCCCGCTGCAGAGGGATGTGCCGTACCCAGCGCAGCCCGCGTCGTAGCAGCACATGGCGTCGCCTGCCGGCGGCAGCGGCGCGGCCGGCGCTGGCGACGGGGCGGGGGCGGCGGGCGCGGGCGAGGCCGCCGGGACGCCCTCGCCCCCAAAGCCCGTGTACCCCTTGGTGCCGACGGCGGCCAGGGCGCACTGGTTCAGCGAGGCGTTGACGCAGGCCGGGCCCGTCATCCAGAAGCCAGGCTCCCCAGGGGCCGACTGGCCGGGCACGTAGGGGCTGCGGTAGCTGCTGACGCTGGAGGGGTAGGCAGGCGTTCCGCTGTTGTCGATGATGCTGAAGGTGTTGAAGGTCTCCCAGCTGCGCGTCGACGAGGAGGCGATGGTGACGTCGGCGCACTGGATGAACCACTCGAGAAAGGGGGGGACGTTCGAGACCTCGCGATGCGTTTGTGTTTGGCGGCCGCAGCCGTCGACGCTTGAAGTGCTCCCCGACAACTTGCTTTGGCACCCTCTACTTGGTTACGTCGCTGTGCTCGGACATCGAACGGGCGGTATAACGCCAACGCGGGCACGCGGCTCCAGGGACCTCGCTTGCCTTCGAGCAAGGAGGGAGGACGAGGTGAATCGACGGATGATGGAGCGGGGAGGCAAAGAAAAAAACGAAACGGGGAGCAAGGGGGGGCAATGGGCGCTCTCCCGCCCGAGCCGCGGACGCTTCGACCCCCGTCCAGGGGGCGAGACAGGAGGACGAGGGAGCAAGGAGGAGGAGGACGACGGAAAACACCATAAATGTGATCCACATGTATACCAGATGCTGACGGTTGGGGTGCGCGTATTTTCGAGGCACTTCAAGCCCGCCCCATGCTGAATTCACTGATTCCTCCCAACTGTGTAAACACCCTGCCCTCTGTACCCCCCTCCTATAGAACTGCCTCACAACAGAGGGGCACTGGATTCCAAGGTGGAGCGCGTACTGGTCCCAGCGGAGGACGGCGTTGCCCGCGGGCAGCTCGCCGGGCACGGCGATGGGGACGTTCTGGTTGATCTGGCTCCTGCAGTCGGGCAGGTTGGCGATCTTCACCCACCGCATGGCAGCCCGCGACCTGCCCAGATCGTAGGAGACGTAGACCGCACAGTCCCCGGCGTGGCCGATGGCCCCCGTGCCGCAGACGATGCCGGTGGTGCTGCCGGCCACGAGGGTCGGGCGCTGCACGGCCGGGTTCGGCTGCGCGTGCCGGCAGACCCACTGCTCCTGCGTGTTCGCCCTGGGCGGCAGCGGGTCGTTCTCGTAGACCCCCCCGACCGCGGCACCGGTTTCGTCAGGCGCCAGTGCGCACGGCACCCCGAGGGGAGCGCCGCCGCGGCCAGGGCAGCGAGGCTCTGGAAGCTCCGCATCGCCTCGAGATATGCCAGCCTTCTGCGGGGAAGCGGGCCCCGTGCAGCCTTCGGGCCAACCTCAACTGCCTTGAGCCAAGTGGTGGTGGTGGATCCCGGGAACACGGCAACACCGTGAACCTTCCAAGTCCCAAGGCCCGTAAGGGGGGGGGGGAGACGAAACCAGGACGAGGAAAACTCCTCACAAGGACAATCAAGGAACCTCTGAGATCTGGCGGCTCTAGAGGATGTCTCGGGCGCCGCGGCCTTCTCAAAGCGTTCCAGAACGCTCCGAGAGCGTTCCGGGAACGCTCTGGTACGGACTTCTCCTCGTCCTAACCTTAGGTCGGGCATGTCCCCCTACAGAAGGACTTTTGTGAAGCGGCCCTGGAACACACAAATAAATCCACACGAATAACATGATTCCCTACAGTTTCCCATGTTCTCTGAGTTTTTGTCTTCCCCCCAATTCCCATATTTTCCCATATCTTCTGGGGAATCTGTGTGTTAGTTCCCGCCTGATGTTGAACAACATTTAAAAAAAGTTAGAGAATATGCAACACTGGCAAACAATACTCGAACAATCGTCCCCCTATACCGCCCTCCGCGCGCGGCCGAGGCAACGCTAGCCCTACATCTGCAGACAGGGCCCGCGCCCTCTGAGCGGGGGTGCTTCTGAGAAGCCCTCCCCTCTCCCCCATACAGTCGAAACGCTGCCATCGGGAACCCTGAATAAGGAACGAGGCCCCTTTTCTTCATGGGTTAAGCTTTGATGTCCCATCGAAGACCTAAGGAGAACCTCAGACGAGCTGTAAAACGGTTCAGGAACACCGAGCCCTGCCCCAACGAGCTCCACGGGCCCGACTGTACCGCCCCCTGCGCGCGGCCGAAGCAGGCACGCAGGGAAGGACGCAGGCTGGCGAGGAGGCTCGGCGGATGACGGGCAGAGCAAAAGCGCCGAAACCACCTTTTATCAAGAGGACCTCCCGTCACCATCCGAAAGTCGGGCCGGGCGAAAGGGGGGGATAGCAAAGGGGGGGTTTGAGAATCAGCTCTCGTAGCTGACTTTCCTGGCGCCTCCCGACTCCGGGAGGCGCCCATGTATCGAGGAATGGGCCCGGCGGCGGGGCAGAAACCAGCTGCATGCAGCAAATTTCGTAACCCCCCCTTTCCCAATCCCCCCCTTTCGTTCGGCCCGAGAAAGCGGGCGACCCCATCATGACCCTACCCAGGCATCCGACGTCTCGATCTTTTCGAGACACGGGCCCCCGACCTCCCGACCACTTCCCCGAGGCCCGGCGAGGGCCCCGCGAGGCCGAAAACGACGAAAGATCTCCGTCTCGATTTTTTCGAGGCCCCCGATGTCTGGGTACCTCTGCAGGTCGGATTTCCGAACGGCCGGCTGGGCCTCAGCAGCTGCAGACGTCTGCAGCGAAGCGGACCCTGACAGGTGCCTCCCACACCCCAGCGCCGAGATCGGGCGTGTCCTCCTACATGGGGATTTTGGACGACAAATAAAAAGTGGCCAACAAAATACTCCCAAATGGTCGAAAATAACAAAACAAATCTTCCCCAGACTATTATTTCCCAACCCTCCTTGGTTGGGTATTCGTTTTGAATAGAGCAGTGTGGTCGCGTCCTTCCTCCTCCCGCCTCCCGCCTCTTTCCTGCCTCTTTCTGTCTTGCCTGCGGGGGGCTGTGAAACTGTCGCCAGTTTCGAGGCCTGCTGGGGGGTCCAGCATAGAGGGTAATCGCGGCAGATCCAAATTAGACCTCGCCATTCCTGGGGGGCTGCGATCTGTGAAACTGTCGCCACTTTCGAGGCCTGCTGGGGGGCTCAGCATAGAGGGTAATCGCGGCAGATTCAAATTAGACCTCGCCATCCCTGGGGGGGGGGGCTGCGATCTGTGAAACTGTCGCCACTTTCGAGGCCTGCTGGGGGGTCCAGCATAGAGGGTAATCGCGGCAGATCCAAATTAGACCTCGCCCTCCCTGGGGGGCTGCGATCTGTGAAACTGTCGCCACT